TCTTTTTAAAAAAAGATAATGGATTTATTTTGGAGAATATAAAAATTATAATAAAATTGGAGAATTGGGCATGATACAAATTAATAATGAAAGATTTGAAAAATGTAATCAAAATTAAATTAATTTATTGTTGAGTAAATGTATTGTTGATATTAAATTATTAATAGAAACTTTTAATAGATACCTAATTACCAAATAAATTTAAAATCAATATGGAATATGTATAAATTCATTCTTGTTAATAATATAATCTTAGAATTTTATGCTAAATTATTCATTGAACAATAAAGATAATTCTGAAAAGTTCAATAATTTTAGATAAAAAACAAAAATAACAATAAATTGGTTTTAAACAATAAATTATTATTATTTATGTATTGTTATTGGGATTATATTTCAAATTTCAATTATTTTAATAAGTGCCTTTATCTAAATCTGTTATTATTTATAAAATTTTCACTATAATACCCCAAAATGTCTTAGTATTTCTCAATTCCATTATTTAGAAATCTTCTATACGTCTTAATTATAATTTCCAATCCATTCCAGATATTTCTTTGTTCTAAATTATTGAAAATTTGAGGTTTCGAAGACAAGCAATTTGATATTCTATAATATTTTACAAAATCTTACAATTCAACTATTTATTCTTTATAGGTACGATATCTCCTTCTGTTATGTGAATTAGATAGTGCATACCTAATAACTTTTGTAGTAAATTCCCATTCCAATAATTTTGATTAATAAAAATTATGATAATTCTCAATAATATCCTAACTTTAAGCAATCTGTTCCCTTAAAATTAAATAAAATTCATATCAATTCAAATATTATTATATAATTTCTTCAAACTATTAATTTTAGAAAAAATGATTGATTCATATGATTCCAAACTGTTTGTGGAATCAAACAAATAATTTTGTATGCGTCAAAGTACATACGAAAATATTAAAAATAAAAATAATTATTCTTTTAGCTCAAACTTCTATTAGACAAAGGTTTATTATAAGTAATTTTAAGAATTTATATGTAACTAGAGAATTAGAGATAAATTTTTCAAAAGTAAGATTTTATTTATTAATTTGTTCTGTTCTAATTAAAGTATTAATAAGAATATATTAATGATTCAGGATAATTATTTAAAAATGTACATGCTCTCAATTCTCAAAATAACTTTAAACAATAAGAACTATAAAATTTCCAGGAAATTTTCACAATATTCCTTGAGAGTTAAGATCAGTTAGTATACCTAATACAGCATCAGAATACTATTTTACGATCACACTCATAACTTTGAATTGTAAATTGTTGAAATAGATTTACAAATTTTTGTAAAATTTTATAAGCTGATATATTCCTACAAGCATTAAATGTACTAAAATAATGATTATAATAATTCCTCAAACTATAAAAAATAATGTTTAAAATACAGAATCAGCCTAGCAATATGATAATTATTCCTTACTATACTTGGAATATGTGCTAATATTAAATAACTTCATTCCATTTGTATAAGTACCTAACCAATCAGTTTATGCAAATTAAGTAATAGTACTATTACTTTGAGTCTAAGCAGTAAAACCATCATTAGTACAATTTACAGCACATAAATTGAACCAGTCAGTAAAATTTCTATGATTATAGAATGATAGATTTGTAGATTATTCAAACTATTTGAATAATTTTAATATGTATATTTGGGTATCTCCTATGCATTACTGAAAGTACTTTCTAAGCAAGATTTTGAACATTTCTATAATGAGAATGCTTGCATTAAATCACTATAACTTGTATATGTCCTAGTTCTAGTTGTTCTCAACCTGTAGATCCATTATCTTTACATTAATATAATCAATATGGTAAGTTCCAGCAGACCATAATTTGTAAAAAATTTATTTTATATCTTGTATTGTAGAATTGGCTTTATAAGTATTCAACCCTTAACCACAAGTTTGATCATTTAAAACACTCAAAATAGTATTAAAATGCATATTATTCCTACATCCATTATTTGTACTATTAAATGTACAATGAGATGACCAAGCCTCTCAATTAATATGATTGAATGTTAAAATCTTAATTCCATAACTACATGTATGATCTATTAATGAATGATTTTAGAGTATTTTTAATTCTTAATATTATGATCAAAAAGCATTATTAGCTTTACAATAAAGTAATTAATCATTACAACTAGGTAATGTTACATCACTATCAATTAACCTGAATTA